CACCCCCTGTCACGCACAGAGCAGGGCCCATCAGGGGGTTGGGGCTCTGTACCCTGTCATGCACAGAGCAGGGCCCATCAGGGGGTTGGGGCGCCACCTTCTATCACCCACAGAGCAGGGCCAATCAGGGGGTTGGGGCATCGCCACTGTCACACTCAGGGCAGGGCCAATGGGGAGGTTATGGCTCTACCCTGTCACACACAGAGCAGGGCCGATCAGGGGGTTGGGGAGCTCCCCCCATCAGGCACAGAGCAGGGCTGATCAGGGGGTTGGGGCACCTTCCCCTGTCACGAACAGAGCAGGGCCATAGGGAGGTTGTGGCCCCGCCCCCTGTCACACACAGAGCCACAGGGTGATCAGGGGGTTTGGGTGCTGCCCCCTGTCACACTGATCCTGGTACTGGGAGGCCTCTCAGCTCCGCTGATCCCGGTGCGGGGAGGCACATTACCCTTTTACTATATAGGGTAGAGGTCTGGTGCACGGGTGGGGGTGGCTGGTTTGCTCTGAAGGGTGTCCTGGATCAGGGTGGGGGTCCCCACTGGGGTGCCTGGCCAGCTTGGGTGAGGGGATGATGGCTGTTTGCAGCTGGTCATACACCCTTCAGGGTGGGGGTCCCCAGTGGGGTGCCTGGCCAGTCTGGGTGAGGGGCTGAGGGCTGAAGCTCCCAACTGCTCCTTTTTTTCTTTTTCTTTTTTATTCTGGGCCAGCTTTAGCTTTGGGGGCTGCTGAAAGCAGGTTTCTGGCCTTTGTTTACAATGTTGCGATCCTGCTGGCTGAAGCTGGGTGGACTAAAGCAGGTTTCTGGGGTTTTGTTTAGCTTCTATATTTGTTACATAGTTGCTTAGAGTTGCAGCTCAGAGGCCTGCAGCGGCAGGCGGGGAACGTTGGTTTCCTCCGTCACTGAAGCAAGCAAGCCTCATGTTAGTTTCAAGCTGCCTGGCTGCCGGCCGCCATCTTGGCTGGCAGTTAATTTGCATATTGCCCTGATTAGCCAATGGGAAGGGTAGTGGTCGTACGCTAATTACCATGTTTCTCTTTTATTAGATAGATAACCATAATTTCCAAGCCCCCCACCCAAAAAAAAATCAGTGAAAAATGTGGCACTGTTTACATATTTGCAAAAAGTATTTTAGCACCTGGCTTAGTAATAGACAGCTGGACTCTCATACCTGTCTCTATACTCAGTCTGCTGCAATATGCTGTTCTGGTTGTCATTTATGATGAAAATCTGGTGTCATGCACACAGGTAGCTGAGTATCTACCTTTAAGGTAGATCCTGAAAGTGTCTTGGGGGCCCCAGGGTCCTGAGATCATACTTTGAGAACCACTGGTTTAGACAATGATGATGCTACCATGCCCACCACTCATGTGGACCATGGGGAGGAGATCAAGCAGAGCTCAGGATGGGAGAGAGATGGCTGGGGGGGTCACTGAGTGGACGCTTCATTATCCAGGTATCTGTCCCCACTCCTCACTACACCTGTCCAGGAACTGCCCCAGCCAACGGGCTCCCTCCTGGGGCAAGGAAGCATTGGGATGGAGCGCTCCTATGAGTCAGGCCTGAACTATGACTGGCAGGGACCAAATGCCAAAAGGGAATGATTTGGGGGAGATAGTTCAGGGTCCCGGGAAAGTGCTGGGGTGTGCAGCAGCACTCCAGCCAGCCAATATCCCACATCACCCACCTGGGAGAGTTCTGTGCTGAGTGGACTGGCCTGAGTAAAAGCCTGCACAATAGGAGTTTGGAAAACTCCCAGATGATGATGATGCTAATGGGCAGCCAGGGCCAAGAACCACCAGATGTAAGATGCTCAGGAAGCAGACCATCTGGGTTTGAACCCACGCTCCATGGATTATATTGCAACGCACTAATTGTCTAACCTCCGGCCAATTACTCAGCTTCAGTTTACTGATCTGTAAAAGGGGAGTACCATTAGGGGTATTGTGACTATTGCATGAGTTTATTCATTGAAAGTTCTTAGCACTGTGGCAGAGAGTATGTACTCAGTAGATCTGAGCTGTTATTTTTTGTTATGATGGCTTGGATGCAGGTCATTAGCCTGTCAGCTTCCAGGGACCAGTGTCTCTGAGGAAGTGGCTGCACACACAGAGCAAGTCACCCAAGGGGATCCAGGCCCAGCACTGCCACAAAATAAATGTCACCCCTGGGTCCTGTGTCATCTGGAAATTCAGGGAGTCAGCGACATACACACACACACACACACACACACACACACACACACACACACACACACACGGGATCCACTGCTAGAATCCTCAGGCAGAGAAGGGACAGGTGGCTGAGAGGCACAAAAGTGATGTCACTAGAGACAGGTACAGGAAGTCGAGGAGGTGCAACGATGGTGCTCACACTGGGCGTGCGTGTGTGCATGCACACTGTAGTCAAGCGCAGACACGGCTTTTTCCTTTTAAAATTATTGGAACATCTCAAATCTATTGCAGATGGCAAAGGGGAAAACACAGTGGAAATATTTTAATGGCTTATTCTTGGCCTGGGGACTGTCCATAGAGAATTGGAATGAGTGGGCTCACTCCTCATTTGTCCTGAGAACATCATCATTACACATGACACACCACGTTCTGCCTCGGAGCTCATCGGATCAGCCACGAATGTTAACAGAAACACAAGAGAGGGGCCGGGGAAGGACCTGGAACGCTCTCTAAACAGGCAGTACAGCCATGACTCACTATTTTTATTAAGAGGCAGGATGAATCATGTAACACTTCTTCTAGAATTACTGGGCACGGACAGCTCTTCCAGCTGTTTACAGGGTGGAACTCGAGAACCTTCAAGCACAGCTGTGCTGCTGAGTCTTGTGACCTCCGCCTGAAGAGATGAGCCCACAGCACCAATGACCGACTCATTCAATTTCCTTTGGGTTCACTGGCTTTTGCAGATTCCCACAGAGAGAAGCACCAAACAGGCTGAAATAACTAACAGAAATGAATACTGGATGGATCGCCCAGGGCCTCCTGGAGGAATTATAGCTGATCACCTGGGACAGGGCTGTCCGGGCTGCTGAGGCCACGAAGGGCACCATGAAAACAGGAAGATAATTGGATCCAGGAGTCCACACGCCTCATCAGGAGCGGGATTGCACTGGCTAATCCTTCAGACTCTGGGTCGAGCAGCAATTAGTCAACATCTTTAAAGGATTAACCCTCACGTCCGGGTCCCAAGTATTGACACTGAGAAAAGCCACAGACGTGTTGGGCCGATTAAGGGAGCAGGAGACAGGCTGCATGTTGGGGTTTCGCCTTGCAGCCCGCCCCATGCTGATGCATTCGGAAGCCAGACTCTGGTAGAGAAAGTGGCTGGAAGCAAAACGGTTTGGGTTTTCATTTTTTTCTTTTCTTTGTTGGTTGTATTCTAAACGTTATGTTCCACTGACAGGCGATTTACTAACTTGGTAGGGAATGATTTACCAGGCTTTGTAAGCACGCTTCCCTCTATTATGTGGATGCTTTCCTTCCACACGCTTGGCATGTACAGGTGACAATCATCACCTTGGAGGTGGCCACAGCACCTTAACAGGAGGTGCCAAAGCTCTGAGATGCCGAGTTCTGTCCTTGCATCCTCAGGACAGCCAACCAAAAGGGGCGACAGGGTGGCGATCTGTTCTAAACAAGGACCTCAGATCCCACATCAGCGCTGATCCTCAGTCCACAGAGAAGCAAGCCCACAGCGGGCCCCTGAATGGGAAGGCCCCCACCCCTCAGTCCTCAGATTCTACCCCCACAGACCCCACAGGCTCACTGCAGGCTGGTCAGTTCCCCAGCCACCTGCTCACTAAAGTCTCTCCCCAGGTCAGACCCCTCCCCAGGTGGATCACCAGGAAGCTTGTTTATTTGTTTTTCCCATGGAAAGTGTTAAGTTCAAGGAAACCATGAAGTTGAATGAAACGGAAATAGTCTTAAACTTGGCTAAAATGTATAGCTCCTAATGCATCACAGAGGAACTCTCAAATCATACTCTTTGTAATGAGGCTAAATTAAAATAGCCTAACTGAATTTAGAATGGCAGTGGTTAGACAAACAGGGCCTATACACTTTAGACAAGTCTAAAATGCCTTAAAAGCCTCTAAAAGCAGTTATTTACATTGCTGAGGTATTTGAGTTTTATGCCTAAAATTATATTGGTTTTGTGAACAAACACTTCCTTACTTCTGCTGATTTCCCAGATCCTTAGACTGAGACAAGTGAGTGAGTGGCTCAGGGCAGGGGGAGAGCAGGGCAGAAAGGGGGGCTGAGGAAAGCACACCCCATATAGGCAACACTGGCAGTTCCAGGACCCACAACAGCAAAATAAAGACACGTACCTGTTCCTGAAATGCGCGTCTTAACAGAGGCAGACCCGGGGTGAACTTCACTCTCTCAAATGTCAAAGCTCTCGTCTCCTCCAGACTCAGATCATACCTATGAAGGCGAGATTCACAATGTGTGTCAAGATGCTGAATTGATCCTGGCCGGTGTGGCTCAGTGAGCTGGGTATCGTGCTGTGCACTGAGAGGTTGTCAGTTCGATTCCCTGTCAGGGCACATACCCGGGGTGCGGGCTAGATCCCTGGTAGGAGGTGTGCAGGAGGCAGCCGATGGGTGTTCCTCTCTCACATCAATGTTTCTCTCTCTCCCCCTTCCTCTCTCTCTACAAATCAATAAAATTTTTTTTTTAAAAAAAGACACTGAACTGATTGGATTGCTGGTGGCTCTGGGCAAACAGACAACCCCTAGCGCCTTCGTATCTCCCGTGTGGTGCTTACTGTGCATCCGAGAAAGCCCCCCGTTTGTATAAAGGACCATGTAGTCCATCGGAGTGGTCAAAATGGAAGGAAAGAAGGATTTCCTGACAAGACTGCAGGTAGAAAAGACATTTTCCTGTGTCTGTGATGAACCAAGAGCAGCACTGGGGACACAGGGAGAAGGGAGCTGTACTGTGGTGGCCACAAGGAGTGTCGCTTAGGCCTAGGGAGCAGAGCTTACCAGCAACCTCCAGCTGGCACCCATGGCATTCCCTGCAGAGTCCGTCTGAATGTCCATCAGGCGTCAGGCGGCTGAGAAGGCAAGGTTCTAAAGACAGGTCTATCTTGCTTCAGGCAACCTTTGCCCAGCACCCCCCACCCCTAACCATCACTGCGACTTCCTCACAACCAAGCTGTGCCCTTTCTCCTCTCCCTCCTCCCAGGTGTCAGCCCTACCTGCACACATTCTGGAGGTCCTCCCCGTCTCCTCCAGCTCCCTTCCCGTTACCCTCTCAGGTCGTTGGTGCCAATTCGACATCAACAGGGCCCCCCAGCTCAGGGTGCAGTGAAGGAGGAGGCTTCCCTCAGCTGGGTCATGGCGTGAGGCGGCCTCTCCGGCTACACCAGCGGTTCTCAACCTGTGGGTCGCGACCCCTGTGGCGGTTGAACAACCCTTTCACAGGGGTCGCCTAAGACCATCCGGCATATCAGATAGTTACACTATGATTCATAACAGTAGCAACATTACAGTTATGAAGTAGCAACGAAAATAATTTTATGGTTGGGTCACAACATGAGGAACTGTATTTAAAGGGCCAGAAGGTTGAGAACCACTGGGCTACACAGACCTGCTCCTCCTGCTGGGCTCCGCTCTGATCCTGCAGCACATCTCCAGGGTTTCAGCTGGGGGAGGGTAGCCCTTAGCCTGGAGGAACCTCCCTCCTGTGTCAGTTTAGGTAGGACCAAAGGCTCTGCATCTGGAGTCCATATTTGCACGAGGATGGACTAATCAGAGACAGGGGCCTCTCACCTGCATAGAAATGGCTGCTACATAGAAATGTGAGCCCAGTTAGGTACCAGAGAGCCCTTCTTGGTACTTATCTTCTTCCCCCGAGCCAGCACCTTTCCCAGATGTTTCCCCCATAATCACTTGCACATCTAGTCTCATCCTGGTGTCTGCTTCTCAATGAACTTAAACTGACACAGGAGGGGAGGTCCCACTCTGCCACTTAACATGTCTCAATGCAAAGCATGGCCTGAGCCTGGAAGAAACCTTGAATTCCCAACATCAAGTGACCTGGCCTCCTCTGCCTCTGTTCTCTCATAAGATGAGAACAGTAACTGTACATGACTCAGAGGGTCCCCATTTCAATGCTTATTATGCCTGCGCTTGCATGGTAGTGCCCAGGAATAGCAGCTGCCATTCATACTTTAAATCCCCCTCCTCCTTCTCCAGGGCAGGAACTGTTAGACCCATTGCGACAGTCCCAGAACCAAAGAGTGAGCCCCATGCCTGAACTTACACTTATTTGGGTCCCTACAGTTTTGTTACTGTATTCAAGGGGTTTACTGCTTGGGGTGCTCCATTCAAAAACGAGATGTGGTTGTCCCAGGTAGTTTTATTTACTTGCAGCAAAGAAAGGAGACAGGGAATTCATATCCAAAGTTCTATCTCCCCGAAGAAGGGAGGCTTAGCCATTGCTTATATTACACTATTTGGTCTATTACACATTGATGTCTTCTTTGCAGCCAGAAAAATTCTAAAACTGAGGAGCTATGATCTCTATCAAATAATCGGATTGTGGAAAGGCCTCATTAATTCAACAGGTACAAAACAGGCAGATAGGCCAATGGAATGAAATAGAATGTAACAAGTAAATAAACATGGAAACTCAGTATATGTAAGTCAAAGCTGGAATAGCAAGTCACTGGGAAAAACAAAGCACTGACGACATTCCAGTTGCGTAGTCAACTGGGGGGAAAAATTGGATCCCTACCTCACCCTATATACCAGAATAAATTTGAAACAGATCAATGGTTTCCATAGAGAAAAACAAACCACAAAAAAATGAAAATCAAACATGAAGAATTCTTTCATAATCTTAATGCAAAAAAATCCTTTCTAGTATACTATAAACAAGCCATAAAGAAAACATGGAATTTTTTTAAAGGAAAGCATCAATAAATGTTACTACATAACAAAAACTTCTGCATGACAAAAACACCATAAGAGTAGACAAGAAACAAATGACAAACTGGGATAAAATATTTGTTACTGGTGTCATTGCAATGGGGCTAATCCCCCTAATTAAACAGTTCCTATAATTCATCAAAAACAGATCAACAGGTGGGCCACTGATTTGAACTGACTGGTCCACAGAATAAGAAATACAAATGACACTTAAATATATTTTTAAAATATCTGCTGTCACATGCAATAAGAGAGGCACAGATTCAAACTGCACTGAAATGGCAATTTTTACCTATTATATGAGCAAAACCCAGACAGTCAGATAACACACTGCATTGGCAAGGTGGCTGCATGCACTAGCTGGGAAGGAGGGAGGTACGATATGATTGGCACAATCTATCTGTGCAGCAACCAGATAATATCTACCAAAATTACACATGAACCTGTCTCTTGACTTGGCAATTGCACTTCTAGAGACTTCTCCTTATGTCATCATGCATGTGAAGAGTATGTGATGTTACGGAAGAAACGATGCTTACAGAAGACCGGAGAAAAACCAAGCAACACCCAGAGAAATGGAGTTACACTGTTTGTATGCCAGCGGGCCCAGAGGGAGATGTCTGCCAAATGTCTGAGCAAAAACATGGAGGAAGCTTTCCCTGTTTATATCTTTCCACCCCCTTTGTCTCCCAAATCAGGGTTTTTCCGGACCTTATGTTAGATGACTACAAGGTCAGACATCCAAGTTTATCTTCCCTATTATTCAAGCAGCTAGAAAGCAAAGTTAATTTACAGAGTAAGGGGCTGTCTAAAAATAGCAGAGTTGACTCACAGAATAAAGGATCATCTAATAGCAGAGAATTTCAATTAGTAGTTTTACAAAAATAGGGGTTAGCCTTCTCAGTATAAGTTAGAGTAATATAAGCGATGGATCTTCTTTGTGTAATTACCTGTAGTATTTATTCATTATAAGTTCTGTAATCAAAAAAGAAAAATGTGGATCAAGAGAAACTCAAACTATACAGACCAGAGTGTAAAGCCTAGGGGAATGCCAGGAAGTGTGTTATTCAGACAAGATTCTAAAACATATTATTTACCTACTTTCTTTACATTTCCACTCCAGTAAATTTTCAATGAAATTATTACTATTCATCTATTTTTAAATCCCAAAGTTATTTTCACATAAACTAAGTTTACTGCTCATAGTGATACCAAACATCTCACTAGAACAGAATGATAGTAATGATTTTATGTCAATCTATGTAGGAAAATAAGACACAATGAAGAGCAGGGGAGGACCGCTAATGCACAGATAATGCATGCACAAACCAAAGGAGCTACAACACTATTTAAAACTATACAGTAAGCATGCCTCGAGAAAACTGGGCTACTGATAAACAGCTCTCAATAATCAATACCCATGTCCCTTACTTTAAAGAAATTTCTCTACCATTCACAACAGCATGGATGGACATGGAGAGCATTAAGCTAAGCAAAATAAGCCAGTCAGAGAAAGATAAATAGCACATGATCGCACTCATTTGTGGAATATGAGCAACATAAATCAATGAACAAAAATAGATCCAGAGACAGAGAAGCATCAAACAGACCGTCAAACTTTTGAGGGAAGGCGGGGGGAGGGGAATGGTATAGCGATCAACCAAAGGACTTGTATGCATGCATATAAGCATAACCAATGGACACAGATCCGAGGCGGGTGAGGGCATGTGCCGGGGGGGGGGGGGGGGGGGGGCTGGGGAGAGGTCAGTAGGGGAAAAAGGAGATATATGTAATACTATATGTAATACTTTAAACAATAAAAAAATTAAAAAGAAATTTCTCAACAGAGACACATTAGGACATTTTAATTAAGGTGTATTTTTCCCCTTCCCCTTCCCACCCTCACCCCAAAATGCACTACTGGGGTGATTCAAATGCTACATGAGCAGGAATAGCTATTCACTATAGGGCTGTAACAGCAAACATTGCAAACACCTAAAAGCTCATCAACAGAAGAGAGGGTAAAATATGATACAAATACAGTACAACCGTGCAATGGGATACTACATAAAAAAAAAAATCTCTTAATATGCCAATATGGGGAAATTGCCAAAGTGTGTTTTAAATGAAAAACAAGGTATAAACAAGTGCATATATTACTTTTACTGCCATGCTAAATAATTTTTGCAAATGGAGGGAAAAGACTATATAATTGCTTGCATATGCACTGTTGTTTTTTTTAATCTCTTAAAGGACCCACCAGAAACTCATAGCAGTGTTTATCTTTTATGTACATGGAGTAGATGTGAAAAAAATATTGCATATGGGGAACAATACCTTTTTATGCATTCTGACTTTCGAACCATATTAAAATAAACCACACACACCAAAAAATAAACAAAAAAAACCCTTAAACATTAAATTGTACACTTAAAATAACCACTAGATGGCGCTTATTCTTCATTGAACTGTGATCACAAGTAATTTCCTTTTAACAAAGAATGAAAGCTGGATTTAAAAGTCTTCGAAACTATTTGCCTGAAAGCTTGAACATTAAGAATATCTAAATTCCTAACATTTTTCAAGAAAAAAGGTAACGATCTCTGCAATGGAAAAGTCAGGGTTTAAGGAAGGCCCCACAAGCTTCAAATTCCTATACAACATGCTTAGTTGTTTACATGTTTTCTGTCTTTAAATATCAACCTCCACATTTAACAACCACCATAGTAGGCCACCTCAGATAACATCTGTTTAACAATGGCAAATGAATCCTAAACAGTGATGTAATTTAATAGATATAATGTCTCTTTTCTGTTTTCTTGGGTCTGTAAGATATGAAGATATGGCAATTATTCATCTCCATGCCTCAGATTATAGAGAGAGGCCCCAGGGAATTAAGGCCGTGGCAGGTCCTGGGTGGATGGCATTGGTGTCAAGATTAGGAGCTGAGCCTCAGAGGCTGTGGACACCTCAGGGACGACTGTGGGGGTAGAGAGAGGGCCCAACTCAACCCCTCACCAGCTCTACCATCATCTGACTTATGTATCGATGCTCTGTGTGGGATTTAGTGGGGAAAACACGTTCCATCACTAAGAACAAGGTTGAAA